GTTGTTGCTTTTATTTAAATATCTTTTATGAACAATGGTTTATTTATTCATTTCTCTTTTATAGTTTAAATAATATTACCAAAAACACCATTTTTTAATTATATGGATAAGAATATAGTCAATTAATCTTTACTGTTTTTTTATTAAAAAAATTTCTTATAATTTTGAAAAAATAATCAAAAATTCCTTTACTTTCATTAAAAATAATTTGTATAAAATTTTTAATGAATTTTTATCAATGATTTTTTATTAGAACGGTCAAAATTACTTTTTTCAAATTTAAACACAAAGAAATATTATTTCATATTACAGATAATATTAAAAAAATCAATTAACAGTCCAAAAATTTACAGTTTTCTAAAAACTTCTAACAAATCTTATTTTACAGACATCGTGACTAAATACCCACCCAAGTGGTAAAGATAAAGTAAATTCTAAAACTAATTACAGTATCTTAACAACTGCAATTTGACAAAATTAGTAGTTTATTAAGTTATATTTATTCATTTTACTCCTTTTGTAAATATTTGATGTAAAACATTTATTTTGTTTAAAAATTTTTAACATAAAATTAAAAGATAACAGACCAAATAAACAAAACAACGTAAATGAGACGACAGAGATAAATACAAATGAATACATAAGGGAATATATAGCGGACAGTAAATCCTCAATTAATAAACCTACTTCAACAACCTCCACTATTAGCTTCGGCATTAATTAATAAATACCCCTTTTTGTTTTAAAAAACTTTTTCAAATTACTCATTTATGATGTAATAATTTGTAATTTACATATTTTTAAAGAAAATTTTTGAATTTTTAATTCAATCTTTTTTACAATAAAAGTAAAATATTACAAAAAAATATTTTTATCAAATTATTGGTTATTTATAAAATCTATTTCTTAAAAAATTTTTAATAACCCCTATGATTAACATTTTTATCCAAAGTATAAAAATGGTTTGCAGTTCATATGAAAATTCAAACAATGAAGAAAGGCTATCTTTGGAGACTTTAGCTTTGCAACAGGATTTTTTAGAAGCATCAGATGTGGGGAATTCAAGTGAATTAGAAGTAATCACATATGAAGATGTTATTTCTATATTAGGAGGAACTAATTCAGAAAATTTAAATCCTGAATCAAGTTTACCGGTTTCAAATAATGAACCATTTTTATCAGAAGTTGCTTCTAGTGATTTTACATTACAAGAACAATTTCAATTTGATGTTAATGATAAAAAACAAAAGTATCAAGATGAAAAATCTTCTATAATGCAATCAGAAGCTAAAAAATTAAGATTTGAAAACGACTGTTCAATTTCAGTCAATAATATAAATACTGAAAATAATGGTTTAAATTCAAATCCTGGTACCTCTTATGAAAATTTAGAAGAAAATAAAAAGTTTAAAACTCTAACTATGGAAGAATACAATAAAATTATAAGCCAATACGAAAAAGGTAATGTTAGAGCTAATTATAAAGACATTGTTGAAATGATTTTAACAACAAAATTGGAACCAACATCTGAATATTATTATCAGGATCTTTATGATACATTTTATCAGAGAAAAAGTACGAAACAGACTAATAGTATTTATAACATAGATGCTTTTACTGTTGAAAATAACAAAAAAATTTTGTCTTTTTTTGAATTTTATTTGTTAAAAAGTATAAATCTTATAGTTTTGAATGAAATTAACAAAGATAATGATAGAAATATTATTGAAGAATTATACGTTATTAATAAGTATATTGAAATAATAAACAGATCAATTGATTTTATGATATTTTATGAAAATCTAAAACTGTTGTTGAATGAAATAAAAGTTGAAAGATATAATATTCAAAGCTTCATGGATATTATAATTAAAGATTTAAGAAACATCAATTTTCCAATTAAAAATTTTACTCGAATAGATTGGATAAAGGGGTTTTTAGATCTTTTTAAAACCAATAAAATAAAGAATGAAACTTTATTGTGGGTTAGAAAAATTATTAGTAACTCTAAATTAATTAATGTTTATTTTTTTTATAATATTGAAGATGTTTTAAAAACGAATAAGAAAGAAGCTATTGATAATTTAAAACTTATAAGTGTGATACGAGTCATTTATATTTTTAAGGATTTTAAAAATTTTTATTATAAAAAAAATCTCGTTATACGTAATTTTTTTAATAAAGTTAAAGAAATTTTTGAAAAAGAATAAAATTTCAATTCACAAGGATTTTTAAAACATTGTAATTTAAGAGAATTGTATAGTAATTTTAAATTTTTTTGTTAAAAATAACTAAAAAATTTTTGACTATCAGATTTTAAGTAAAAAAAGTAAGAATTGTTTTTGCCGAAATCAGCAGAGGATGAGTAAACAAGTTTATTTAAATCTTTTACATCATCTAAATATCCACCAGTAGGATTACCGGTGTCTATATATATCGTCTCATTATCTTCATATCTATCTTCTAAGTTATCTCTGTTCATCTTAACTTCTATGGGTATAATAATTAATTTTTTATTTATAGTGTAAAAAATTTCCAAAAACGTGTTTACCTCCAATTTTACTTATGGAGTATTACGACAGTTTTAATTATAAATTAACAATTTTCTTTAAATATCTGAGCAAAATTTTCATACTTTGTTATCATTGTTTCCTTTTAAAGCTTTCCTTGAACAATAATTTTTTATTCTATATTTGTTTATATATTATTTATAAAACAATTTCAAAAATCATAATCATTGACAGCAAGTTTTACAAATAGTAAATCACAGACTAACAATAAATTGTTTAAATAAATAAAAAATCAAAAAATATTTATTTCATAAGTTTATTCTTTTTAATATTTTCACAAAAATTTTTTAATTGGTGAGATTTAAACTTTTAAAAAAAGTTTAAATCTCACCAATTAAAAAAATAAATTTATATTATTTCAATACATAAACATATCTGATAGTGTTAATAGCAATAATTAAATTATTAATTCAATCAAACAACTTTAACAAGTTATATTTTTGTTAAAATTTTTATATAAAAATAAAAAAAATAATTTCAGTTTTTTAAAATAAAGAAAAAAGACTTTTGAGAAAAGTAAATAACAAACACATAAATTTTTTCTTT